CAGAAATTGCTGGAATTCACTCAATTTCCTTTGTGAGACCAGATCAACCTTGACTGGCATCATAGTATATTATATGTTAGGGGGGAAAGACACAGGAAGCAATTTACTTCCAAGGGAAATGATCCATCATGTAAAGTTATGGGTGCATCAGAAGTCTCTATTTGAATATGACTGGTTCTTTCATCAAATTTCTCCCAATGTATTTTTCTCCTATTTTCAATGAAAATCATTTAAGTTAAAGAACCAAAAACATATCCTAGTTGTCCAAGTAGAAAAATGTATTTTTTAAAAATTATTGGATCTCAATGTGGAAAATGTTTAAGCTCAAGGGCAATTCAGTAAAAGGAATATGTAATTACCTAGTACTGAGCACACTGGAGAACAAATGTGGATCTGGGGAGCACGAAGGGAGGTATGAAAGAAAAGCTGCAGAAGAGAAGTCACTTTTGAGAGGGTCTGAGAATGTTAACGAGACGTCTCACTGGGTGAGAGATTTTCAAAGAACCTTTTGCTAAGTAGTAGGTGGAAGAAGAATTTCAAATAAACCTACCCAGGATTTATTTCCCTTTAGACACTTTTTGTCCTGTAAAAAGAAGGAAAAGGAAATACTTGAAAAAGACCAAAAAAAAGTCAACCTTTTAATCAAGTCCTCCTTTGGATAGGGGCAACTGGGTGGCACAGTGGATATAGTGCAGGGCCTGGAGTCAAGAAGACTCATCTTTGTGAGTTCAAATCTGGCATCAGATACTTACTAGCTGTGTGCCCCAGGGAAAGTCACTTAAACCTGTTTGCCTCAGTTTCCTTATCTATAAAATGAGCTGGAGAAGGAAACAGCAAACCACTCCAGTATTTCTGTCAAGAAAACCCCAAATGGGGCCATGAAGAGTCAGAAATGACTGAACAACAACAAAAACCTTTGGATGTATGACTTTACAGCACTGACTCAAATGTTAGGTCATGCTGATTTTTACCATTTGTATAAACTACACCGTGTTTTTAGCATATGAAAGGCTTCCAAAAGCTTGAAATTATAGCCAACTTTTCACTACTATTTTTTTTCCAACTGTAGGATGAGAGCCTTGTAAAAAAAAAAATACTGTCATTTCATTTTGTTAACCCATACTTAATTCTGACAATGACAATACAAACTTCTCTCTAACTCACTTGACAAGCCATCACCCATGACGCCCATTGTGTCCTGAATTATTCTGGCTTCATATCCGATATTTCTTTCTACCAAGCTAATGAATCACAGCTTCAGGACCTGAGAAATCACTGTTTCATTCTCAGGCATAACTGAGTAAAAAGCTCTTCTAGTAGTTAAAATATGCACTTGTGTTTTAAAAGTTACACGCTGTCTCAAAGGGATGACTATTAAATGGATGGAATGTTGAGGAAGGTGAGAAATGTGCATGTAATTTTATCGTACTGGTTAAGTATTACAGCTTTATCATGTATTGGTAAATAAAGACTGCATTTACAACCACGGTCAATATTTGATCACCAAGAGCAAAAACTACAGGAAGGTCACTTTGCCAACTGGTACAGGTTAAGAGCTCTATTTCCCCCACTCTCCCAATTTCTTAAGAGATCAAGAAGGCACAAAAACCACTGTTTTATTTTTGCAGAAAAACAAAGTATTTTAAGAACTAGCATTAACTTCAGTCTGAATACACTCAAAAGTTTATCTATTAGCTCTGACCTCATTATGCCCACCAGCTTCGAGGGTATGGAAGTTCATGGTACTACAATATTCACTTCAGTTCTCAATTGTTTGTTGGAAATCAGGACTCAGTCTTTATTGCCAATTATCATTAACTTTTTCTGTCATCTCAATAGTGGTTGCAATTGAAAATCACTTTGGCATTTGTATGACTAACTTCATGTTTCAAAAATATGTTCAGAACAAAGCCAATGGTTGAAAATATCCACGAAGACTTAACATTTTTTGTGGTTATGATATTTAGCCACTCACATACAATACAATAGTTTTCACTGTCAGCATGTATGTGCACGCACACACACACACACACACACACACACACACACACAGTTAAAAAAAACCTTAGTGCGGTTATACTTAATGCTTAGTGCTATATACACATTCACAGAAGCTTCTTTGAGTTTAGCTGAGATAGCAGAAAATTAATTCAAATTATTTTAAAAAAAATTTTAATACTGTTAGATGTTTTAAAATGTGATATTCTATATACCACAGATGAATATTCCAACCACAAACGGGAACAAATCAAGCCAGCTGAACACTTATCATTCTAAGATATTATATTTTTAAAAAGAATTGCAAAATAGTATTTAAACCACCTAAAAATTAAACTCAAATGTTTGGGGAAACAGCATGAAATTTTAAGGAAGCAAAGATTCATCATTTCAATTACTTTTACCTCATAGACAACATCCTAAGATGGATTTAACATCCTACTAGCAAAACTCCATGTTCATTAGTATGCTAAATATTACAGACATATGCTGCAAAATCATCAGTATGCATTAATCTTTAAAAGCTGGACGTGTTTTTGGAAAAGGTGAAATAACAGAGTAATAAGTACTATCTCAATTTGAGAAAGACTTAAATAATTTTTCAAATCTGGAAATTTTCCTTTAAAAGGCTGTCATTATATGCTGTTCACTATTACCTTTTTGAAATATTTCTTTCTCTCATTCATAATGTATCCAAAAACACTACCTAAAATAAGGATTTCAGGTTATATATGAGGTTAAAGGCACCCACACTTTCAGGCATACAAAGGCAAAAACATAGGAAACTACTCTGGAGCTCTTTCACGTGGGTGTGCATTTCTAAAATAAAAAAGTATTATCACTCCAACAGAATAAGTCTGCTAAATGATCAAGTCAGACTTGAAATTCTGTTTTGACAGTTTCACCAGAGATCCTCAGAAACACAAAGATGTTTAGTGATATGAATGAAGATGAAGTAAAACTGATGTTGAAAGGACAATAAAGTTTGTGAAGATTTATCTCTTAGTATATGCCACATCTAAGGGCATACCAGATTACGCATGGACTGTGGTTAGTTTTTCCATCATAGTGTGGTACTCAAGTTTAATATATTAATATATAATCACTCAGAACTGCTAGTCCATTTTTGAAGTAAATTTCATAATATTCGATGGTCTCATTGGGGGTGGGAAATAGTTTGTTTAAATACAAAAGTCTTTTGAATATCTGCAGCTCAATGAGGTTAATCTAAACTACACATACATTTTATATATGTGTAGGTATGATGTATACTTACATATATAGTTTCATACATATGTGTATATATTGCTTCATAAATATATGCATATAAATATCTGGAAGTGTAATTCTATTTTATAGGGAAAAAAATCTGGTACTTTAGTTTACATACTATAATCTGAACGCCGTAAGCCACATGTTGTTACATAAGACTTTATTTTCTTTCATAACAGATGATAAATCAGTGATATAGTTGTATACCATTACCAAGAAGATCAAAGATTATAAAATACTATACTCAATGGGCAAAATACATTCATCAATCTGGCCATATTATAGCATTCTGGAATAAAGTTACAATTCCACATAGCTTTGTATGCAGTATTTTTCCTCATCCCTGAAAGCACAGTTTGTTTGTTTATTTTCCCAGAATTTTTTTAATCCCTCTTTTTATACTGAGGTAATATGATTATTTACTTATTTTCCTTATTTTTTTGAAGCTAATTCTGCCAGAAAAGTGAAATTCAATTCAATTTTGTTTCCAGATGTAAGACAGACCACAAATGATGGTCAAACATAATTAAGAAACAGGTGTCTCTAGGATACACATATCTAACTGAAACAACACATCATATGTTGTGCTGGGGGGGGGGAGTTGCAACTACAAATGCTTTCAAATATCACACACCTGATTTAGAAAAAAAAAATGATATACAAGAGGAATACAGTTGGGCACGATATGTCTTTGTGAAAATAAGAAAATGGCACATTTGCATTTCAGAATACAACATCCTAGCCCTAGTATGTTCTTTACTAATCCAAAGTTATATTGAAAAAAAAATCACACTGATAGATTAGAAACTGAAGTATTGCACAAGTTACTCTATAATTAGTAAAAATAATAAAATGCTAATTCTTTAAAACAACACAATCGTCAGAATCCTTTCAATTGCTACAAGGTAGAACTTATGGTCCAAAACTGTGCTTACCCAACATTCGCCCAGTTTTGTTTTTTATTATGAACAACACAGACAAGGTTATTTTAATTGGAAATGGTCAGTCCTTCCTCTTAGCTTCCTCAAAAGATACACATAGATGTCAATTTACATACGTTGAAGAAGGCCAACTATTTTTAACAAAAATAGCCAGATAAACGCCAAGCCCAAGCTATTTCCAGATCATAAGATGGTAAACGTCTGGACTGAGTCTGCGGAAACAAAGTAGGCGAAAACTAAAGAGGAAGGGGGTGGGGAGTGGGGATGGGAACGGGGGGTTCCCTTCTTTCCGACGGAGCAGTGCGACTCTGCCTGGCATCTGCATAGGTTCAGAAAAAGACACATCCGTGAGTGAGTGTGTGTGTGCGTGCACCATACTAACCCAATAAACAAATAAAACCCTGCGGCAAGGGAGGGAGCATCCTCAGGCTTTCAGGGCATGAACCGAAACCTAGTCTACCTGTCACTTGTCTTTTAACTCCAGCCCTCCAGCGCCTGCAAGAGATCTCTATTCACTGCCCGGAAACGGACTTCGGAGGTTTTGTTTCCCTTTTGTTTATCACTATTATTATTCTTTGGCCCCGAAGCTCCTGTTTGCCCAGCCGCTTACCGTCTCCCTTCCCCCGCAAAAAAAAGAACTCCCTAATGTCCCCCAACCATCCTGTTTTCTCCCCCCACCCCGTACTCCACCATCCCCCGTCACAGAGAGCCACTAGGACCGAGAAGAGCGGCTTCCCTCGCAAGCCCCCAAACCAATAATCCCTCTCCCCCAAGCGCTCGGATCCTTACATCAGCCGGAGGGGCGGTGGGTGGGTTTCTCTAGTGCCAGCGTCTTGCAAATGGATGGTGGCAGCGCTGGGCACCGGCGGTCCTCTCCGGCCGCTCGGGGCTCTCGCGCTCTGCGTGTGTATGCCTCTGTCTGTGTGTGTGTGTGCGTGTGTGTGTCTCTCTCTCTTTCTCCCTTTCTCCTCTCTCGCCCTCCCTCCCTCCCTCTCTCTCTCCTTGTTCTCTCCTCCTGGCTTAAGAGCCAAAGCTTTCTACTTGCAACCCAAACCTGCCCAGGCTACGGAGCATGCCCAGTTTGGCTGCTGGGAGCCACTTAGAGCGGGTTAGCAATGTGCGGATTCTCCTGCTACTCCTGTTCCTCCTCCTCCTCCTCCTCCCCGGTTTAGGGAAACGTCGGGGCTAGGAGGAGGGAGAGTAAAGAAGGGAAGAGCGAGCCTCGTGGTGGGAATAGTTAGGTGCCCGGCCTGGAGCCTGATCCCAGGACCAAGCCCCAGAATGTCTCGGGGTGGGGGGGCTGGCAGGCAAGGGGTGGGCGTAGGAGAGGAGGTGGGCGGGGCGCCCCGTCTGGGGAAGCAGACGGTCCAACGCGATGATACGTTTCTACTCGGGGGGGGGGAGTTGGGGTGCGGGGGAGGGGGGGTGTGCGTGTGTGTATGTGCCTGCCCCTTCCCCTCGTGTGTGTATGTGTGTGTGTGTGTTGTGCCTGCCTTCTCTCCTCCGCTCCCTCCAGCCCTGGCTCTCCGCCCCCGTCTCTCGCACCCCCCCCCCCGGGCAGGTGTGTGTGTCTAGTCTGGGTCATTCCTAGGGAACCTCGAGCGGGCAGCGCCAGCGGTTCTCTACTGCTGGGGGATTGGCTAAACCGGGGAGTGCCGTCATGACCGTGGGAAGAGAGGCAGAGCGCCCCGAGGGGATTCTGGGGGGCGTGCTGGGCGGGGGTGCGGGGAGAGAATGGATGGGAATCACGTGTGAACACACATATTAAAGCCACAGCGGGGTGGGGGCCGGCGCTAAGGGATGGCCGGATGGCTACGACAGCTCCAGATTAACGAATGCAGAAGAGGGACACTAAAAAGGGGGGAGGGGGGAGGGAAATCTGACTCTAGTACCCGGGGTGCACGTTGGCTGGGAAACCCGTGCTCCCCAGTACTACTTTGCCCCTTAAGAACAATCCTCCCTCTCCGCACTTAGGGGTAAAGATGGGTGTGGAAGGGGAAGAAGATGGAGAGCATTTGAATTAAACTCACAGTGCTCTAGAAATTGCCTTCGCCCCCGTATCCTGCTCACATTTTCAGACCTCATCCTTTCAGGCTACATCCATGTATTGAACCTACACTTTCTCCGCCTCCTGCGCTTCTCTCTCTTACTCAATCAACCACTATCCTTGTTCCTACTCTTTCCCCTCCTCCCTCCGCTGGCCACCAAAACCCCGGGAAGTGGGACCTGCGCATTGTAAACTCCTTAGTGGCGCTCACAATCGAACTGGGCATGCTCAATAACCGGAGAAGGTTTTTTTTTTTTTTTTTTGATTGCCAGGAGGGGGGAAAAATGCAGACACCTGTAGTAATATAATCGAGGAAGAATTGCAGGTGAAAACAACTGCCTAGGCTCAGAAGCAGGATCGGCTTTTTATCTTGTCTCAAGTTCCAGTTCTCACGTCCTGCCCCTTTGTAGGATGGGGCAGGGAAGATTCAGAGAAACATGCAAAACAGCAGTCAGTTCTTAAAGTAGAGGGGTCTAGGTACCAAATTATTTTCTCCTAGTCTCGTTTTTGTGCTTCTTATGCTTCTTATGCTTTCTTCTGTGTGTCTGTATCTATACAGGCAAATGAAAAAACCCGACTAGAATTTTTTTCTGTAACAGAATGTCAATAAATTACATGAATAGAAGGAATTGAACCTTTGCATCTGACAGTGTTCAGGGAATTAGACTAAAGATACTGATTGACCCGCAGGCCAATGCTCAGAATGTATATGCATGCCTACTGTATTGAAGGTATATATGGGTGTGTGTATGTAACCACACCCACAGATACTTCTGTTTATCTGCATATAAATATATATATATATATATATATATATATATATTAACTAGATCTATCCACCAATGTATCTGTACACCAACTCTTGTCATAGATGTGTATGTGTATTACCCACTCCCTAAGTATCTGCATACAGATGTGCTATGTGCAATGTTCTGTGTATTTTGTCTGTTGTTGATGCTTGGTAATCAGAGATAATTTATCTGAAACATCCAAATGTAACCTGTCATAATGGCGTAAACCAGCCTCTGGAGTCAGGGTGGAATGTTGTATATTCCTAATATTCAATTCTGGGTGTTAAAAATTTGTAAACCAATCAACAATTTTTTTTTCTGTTTGGCTTTCTAATATAATGTAAGTTACCCCAAAAATCATTTCAAGTGAAGGAAAGTCCTAATAAAAATTTAATGGAAAAGAGAGGGAATAGGATAATCAGCACATATACTTAGGGTTGGATCTGCTGAAGGAAAAAAAATACTACATAATTAGTCTATTCAGAAATAGGTTACTGGCCTCTAGTGTTCTGTTCATAAAGTAATATATTCATCATCGCTACTAAAGTACAAACCAGAAGTTTGTTAGTTAACCAGAAGTTAACTTCTTTGACTCAGCTATCTACTTCATTTACTTTGCAGTTTTTAAAGATGAGATAGACAATAAATTGCAACGATATGTAATCCCCAGTTTCAAAGTCCATTGGTATGGAATTGTCCTTACTGGTGAAGATCAATGCCCTTAGTCTGCTTCAAGGGCGTGGGTGTAGTTGGTGAGAGTAAGAGACAGGTTTAGTTTCTTCTGGCTTCCAGCTTCAACAGAGAAGATGGAAGAGGTCAACTCCATTTCAGGTTGCTGAAGGAAAAGACTCAAGGAACTTCCCCTTGGATGAGACCTAAGACACTCTTGCTTTCACTGTTACTTTACTCCCAAATAGAGAGCGCCTTCATAATGTGTTGTCGGGTATATATTTTACTACTTTGTCAGATTACTGTTTTGCTATAAGAATTGTATAAATGAGTTTCTTGGATAACTGCTATATGTGTTCGTTGTGAAAAGGGGTCAAGTCTTTGGTATGTAAACATATAAAACTTGGTGTCCTACTTCCCCCTATAATGGAACAATAATCAGAAACTAGATTAAACCTGAAAAATATATCCCCTAGACCAGGATTGGAGAACCTGTGGCCTTCTAGGTTCTTGGCTGCAGCCTTTTGACTGAATAAAAGTTTTGCAGAACAAATCCTTTTATTAAGGGGATTTGTTCTGTGAAGTTTGGATTTAGTCAAACAGCTGCACTTGAGGCCTAGAGGGTCACATGTGGCCTTGAGGCCACAGATTCCCTACCCTGCCCTAGATTAACAATATTTAAGGGAGCAGATAGATATAATTCTAGCCCAGTGACCCCTTTCTCTAAGGATAGCAGAGTGGCCTCTACTCCCAACCTCCTGCTTTTTCTCCTGGAAGGAATTCAAGTCTTCCTTGGAGAAGAGTAAGAGAAGAAGAGGTTATAGATATCTATTTTGCCTTCTTTCCAGGCACACAACCCCTCCATGGTACATGCTTAGGGACAACCCTCCTACAAATAGAATGTAAGTCCCTTGAGGGCAAGGACTGTATCTTTGTTTGAATTTCCTTTTTATCTCTGTATCCTTACTGCCTTAAAAAGTGCCTGGCACTAGCCATACCACATCTTAAATTGTATTATAAAGTAGCAATCATCAAAACTACTTGGTACTGTCTAAAAAATAGAGTGGTGGATCAGTGGAATAGATTAGGTATAGAAGACATAGCAGTCAATGACTATAGTAATCTACTGTTTGATAAACCAAAGACTCCAGCTTCTGGGATAAGAGCTCACTATTTGACAAAAACTGCTGTGAAAGCTGGAAAATGGTATGGCAGAAACTAGGCATAGACCAACATCTTAAACCGTATACCAAAATAAAATCAGAATGGGTACACAATTTAGATATAAAGGCTGATACTATAAGCAAACTGGGAGAGCAAGGAATAATTTACCTATCAGATTGATGAAGAATGGAAGAATTTATGACCAAATAAGAGATAGAGAACATTATAAAATGCAAAATGAATGATTTTGATTACATTAAATTGAAAAGGTTTTGCACAAACAAGGCCAATGCAACCAAGATTAGGAGGGAAGCAGAAAAATGGGAAAGCATTTTTACAGGCAGTGTCTCTGATAAAGGCCTGATTTCTAAAATATGTAGAGAATTGGGTCAAATTTATAAGAATACAAGTGTTCCCCAATTGATAAATGGTCAAAGAATATGAACAGGCAGTTTCAGATGAAAAAATTAAAGCTATCTATAGTCATATGAAAAAATGCTCTAAATCACTATTGATCAGAGAAATGCAAATCAAAACAACTCTGAGGTACTACATCACACCTATCAGATTGGCTAACATAACCAAACAGGAAAATGGTAAATGCTGCAGAAGATGTGGGAAAATTGGAGCACTAATGCATTGTTGGTGGAGTTGTGAACTGATCCAGCCATTCTGGAGAGCAATTTGGAACTATGCCCAAAGGGCTCTAAAATTGCATACCCTTTGACCCAGCAATACCACTTCTAGGACCCACATGTACAAAAATAATTATAGCAGCTCTTTTTGTGTGGCAAAGAATTGGAAGAGGTGATGCCCCATCAGTTGGGGAATGGCTGAACAAGTTGTGGTATATGAATTAATTGAATATTATTGTGCTATAAGAAATGATGAGCCAGCAGACTTAAGAAAAACCTGGAAAGACTTAAATGAACAGATGCTTAGTGAAATGAGCAGAACCAGGAGAACATTGTACAGAGTAACAGCCACAATGTACAATGACTAACTTTGATAGACATATCTCTTCTTGGCAATGCAAGGATACAAGACAACTCCAAAGGACTCATGATGGAAATGCTCTCCAAATCCAGAAAAAGAACCGTGGAGTCTGAATGCCAATTGAAGCATATTATTTGCTCTTTTTTTTCTTTTTTTGTTTGTTTCTTCTTTCTTGTGGTTTCACCCACTAGTTCTAATTCTTTTTTACAATGTGACTAATGTGAATATAGGTTCAATATGAATGTAAATGTAGAGCCTATGTCAAATTGCATGCCATCTTGGGGTAGGAGGAGG